ATAGGATTAGACAGAGTCTCAAAACTGTGTTCCCCTTAAGGTGGTATGCACTGTTGATAGGCTCGCTATGACATGTGGAATATATAAGAGCACAGTACTACCAACTTCTGGAGAGTCTGTGAAACCTATATGACCCTACTGTATGTCTACCTTATTTAGGAATTAAAAGTGTAAATATGGGGATGGTAATACAATGAATATATTAAGATGTAAACATGTACAAGATGACATTTCCATTGTTAAAGAATGTTAATTTGAATTTATTTTTGACAAACGATTTGATCTATATGAACAGATGCCTATGTTCCACTTTGATTTTCTTTTGCTAACTGCAATATATCTGGGAAGTGAATATTTAAATATTTATGGAGGGCATCATTATCAGAAAAGGTATATCGTGCTACAACTTAATGTTCTTGAGTCAGACATTTATGTTTCCATTATTTTTTTTTAGTGACATAATTGTTAATTGACAAATAAGTCAACCAACTCTCCTCTCTACCTCTAAGTATAGTAAACAGTCACCTTTCTACTTCCCATTTAAAACTGGAAAGGCTATTGATACAAAATGTAGGGAAGTAAGGAAACCTAGGACCAAAGATATCATGCAACTCTACATTGTCCAACATTGTCATAGTGACTACAAGAGTTTATGCTTTTCCAATATGTAAAAATTTCAAATAATTCTGCTGAACCATATCAAGTATATTGTAGTACTATATAAAGCTAACTTATACTGATGGCATATAATATTTTGATCTTAATACTTAAGAATGAATTTTCTAAGTAAGTGCATCAAAAAATAGTTGTTACTTAATAGATACTGGTTTATCAATTCTTCTGTGAGAAAAAGTTCTTGATGACTGGAGAGGTACCAGAGTCCTGTGTTCTGAATTAGGGGCAAAGTATTAAAGACTATCTTGAGAAAACTTAATCTACTTTGATTTTCTGGACTCTCAATATTCATTTAATGTGCAAGACCCATATAAATATACTATTTATGATAATTACTATTTTTGGACCAATTAAAGCCTATATAAGTATTGTTTATCCTTATTTTGAAAATTTGCTGTTATGATATCATCAAATTAAATGAAGCCACATTTCAAATCCTACCAAATCTTACTTGTTTAGGTATTACAATTACATCATAATTACTAATATAAAGAAAAAAACTGGTTAATGATGATCCCAGCATTAGAGAAGCAAAAATTACAGAAACTGGAAAAAAAAACCACAAGTCTAAGTGGTTATTTCAGGTTGGAAGTGAAGCTATGTACCTAAGTTACATTTCTTGTGGAACTTAATGGAGAAAGTAGTGTTTATATGTCACCTGACCAGTGGAGCTTACATAATATTTATAGCTGTATTATTTGGATAATTTTTCAAACTCCATAACTTATCTATATACATATATTTCAGCAAAGATTTTATACCTGCTAAGTGTATGACTCTGTTCTTAGTTCTGGGATAGATATGAAGATGAAAAAGACACAGTTTCTATACATTGAGTCTATTATTATATCTTAGTAAAGCCTTTTGTTATAAAACATTCAATTACTACATAGAAGGTATAAGTAAGCCAGTAGAGGGCCTGGTACACAATAAAGGCTTAATAAATCTTACTATGACTGAAAAAAGGTTATGTGGTAAGCCAAGGAATAAGTAGTATGTCGTGGTTAATCAAACATGCTAGAGAGTTTCCATGTACAGTTTACAAGGATTAAAAATTTTCAAAGAATTGGAAAGCTTTTTTTTTAACCTGAAGCCAGACTGAATCAACCTTAAATTTTCTCTTTTACTTACCCAGAATGCATGCCAGTATTTTAGTGTCATTACTATAGATATGATTCTGCTATGGTTTTTGTAGAGGGCCTCATTTATAGAGCTTCATAGCTGATGAATACTAGGTATTAGTAAAAATTTACTGTGATTAGATAAATACTTCCACTTGAATATGAATAATACCAATACACAGCCCAAGAAGAAAGAAATATTCTTTTGCCTTTTCCAAATCACTCAAAGAAATTAAAGACTGCTGGTTAGAGCTGCTCTACTTACTAGAGGCCCTTGGTGGCTGTCAGTTAAAAAAAAAAAATTTCAGTTTTCATATATAAAAAGAGTATTTAATAAATCAAAGAACGGGTACCCTAAAAATAGAAATAAGGGTAATTTCTTTTTTTTTTTTTGCTCCTTGTTTCCAAACATGCCAACCATGTGAGACCATGTGACTGACAGAAAATTCCATCATGTAACAGATCTACCTGTATGGAATCAGAAAACTTATTTCTGCTTTACCTGCTAAACCACCTTTCTCTTCTGAAAGTAAAACACAGATTCAGTGCCTGCTATATTAGAGTCTCACACTTTACAGACTAGTAGAGTATACATCTTATTATCTTTTTTTGGTATCAGTTTTAATAAAAACATTTGTTGTGCATATTAAAACAATGTCATGTCATAATTTCCCCCCAATAAAGGAATCCTCTCATTTCCAATTTCCAATTTCTACAATGTATTACCAAAGACTTGCTATCTGTTGGGTATGCATTTTATAAGGTATAATGCTGTATTTAAATCATTTAGTCTTATGTGAACCGCATGATTTTATCTTGTTATAATTATATCTATATATGCTACTATTAGGTTTGTTTCGTTCTTGAATTCCTATTTTTTCCTATTTTATGATGTCCAGAGTCCTGTGTTAGGACTTAATTTATCTTATCTAATCCTGATGTCCAGGATTAGATAATTAAGGACATTGATGACCATTAATTAGGAGGAGGGCACATTAATTTGTCACTGGATAGAATAAATTATTTGGAATGTGTTGCACCTATATTTCTATGTATAAAAAAAAGATGAAGGTTATAAGCCAAAAAGGTAAAGGATTTGATCAACCGTATTAAATATTAACTTTTTAAAAACCAACCATCTATTTGTGTTTTGTTTTCAAATACTGTTTCCAAACCACAGGTGATCAATTATAATTGTTCTCTTAGTTCAGAATGTTGGGAATAGAAGAGAGGAAATGGAAAAGAAACCTATGTGGTTTATAAAAGATCTCACATCAGCTCCAATGGTAAAGTATAGTCACTTTATTAGAATCCAAGTTTATTCAAAGGAGAGGTCCCACTTGACATTATTTAAGTCCTTTATTTCTACCTCCTCACACCCAAAATAAGACCCAGTGTGTGTGTGCATATATGTGTTGTGTTCTCTGTGTGTGTGTGAGAGAGAGAGAGAGAGAGAGAAAGAGAAAGAGAATAAACATGATTCACACTACAGTGCTACTTTTTTCTCTGGGTGCAATATGATTTTCACTAGGGAATCTACTTGCTTAGTTTGTATGATGATAGACAAGATACCTTAGACCTGCTTGTCAGAATACTCATTTGGGAGAAAGGTGTTGCACAGAGGAAAAAAAAAAAACCCATTTTTCATTAAAAATATAAGTTCAACTTAAAAGAAAATGATGAGGCATGCTTTCCTTGTGACACTAACTATAACTTTATGCCTCTAAAGTTTTTAAGCAAAATATCGCTTAAAATTGGTAAATAATAATGGTAAATTTCTTAGTATTCTATCAGAAAAACTGAAACAAAGTTTGAACAATTACAGCATTGGGTTCCATTTCAATGGTTTCTTTTGAGAACTAAAGCAAATTAGCTCAAGAATCAGTATTTCTACACTCTCTATCTTTTGGCTTTAAGTGGCTTTTGAAGGGAGTATCTCCAGATGAGAAACTTCTAACACTCCTGCAGAGATGACCTGCTTGAAGAACTGGCTGCCTGATTAACTATTAACTGCTCTCAATAGGATTAGATAATTAAGGACATTGATGACCATTAATTAGGAGGAGGGCACATTAATTTGTCACTGGATAGGGCCCTTACAATGATTTATAGGTTAGTGCTACTTGCAAATGTGAAGGGAAAGAGAAAAAGAGGGAGAACCATGAAGTTACCTTATCAAGTGGCCAGCTAAAGAGGGCAGAGGGTCAAAAAAGGGCCAAAGTGGTCACTTAAGGGTGAAGTCCCAAACACCAAAGCAGTGCCAAGCCACATTGACCATCATTTGGTGATGAAGTTAAAAATATGCTAATTTATTGGTGGCAATTCTCTCTTTTTATGGTTTCAAGCAGTTAAGACAAGTGGCCTGCTTAAGAGCTTTTCATTTGAAAAGAGATTAAACAAAATGGTTTGTCAAGGCTGCTTGGCTGTTTTATGTCTTTGTTAAAAAAAATTGCACCGACTATACTGATAACTATCACATCACCCAAAAGCCATCTCTCCCTGGGCATTTATTTCGTTAATAAATACATCAACTCTAATTGCTTAATAGTGCTATGTTCATTTGCTCTTTAGCAAGATTAAGTTGAAATAAATCTTTTGTACCACTACTTTCTGTCACAACTGCTTGCATAAAGGTCACAAAAAAAGTTTTAAGTTTTGTAGAAAATTTACTTAAAGACACTGGTGTAAATTACACTTTGTTTTGTTCAGCATGGAAAGCGGAAAGGTGATTTCACTAATAGTAAAGAAAACTGCTTTTAGAATATAGATAAGGATCCTCTTTTCTTAGCCATACACAATTGTGGGTAGCATTCACATTCCACACACAAATAAGCACAGCTCATTAACATTTAATTAAATATGCTTTTGAAAGCCTTGGAAATACGCATGTCATACTTACCATGTAAGTTTGGAGCTTACTTTGAATAGACGTTTAAAACAAAATCATTTTTTGCTATACTCTAATGATATGCCATTAAAAGAGAAAAAAATAAGATAGTCTAAAAACATTATTTTGTTACACCAAAAGAACTTAAGAATATTAGCAGGAAACACCTTCTAAGAATTTCATTAAAGTAAAAAAAACCCATATATATATATGTATATATATATATATACACACACACACACACACACACACATACATACACACATAGACTATTTAACCTCAAGTCCATGAACTAAAATACAAAAATTCTCTCTTACCTCAATGGTGAAGAGCTTCCTTTTTAATTTAAAAGCTAAGTCTTTGACATCGGATACATCATAAATCAAGTTATTAAGCCGAGGAATCTGCCGAATATGAATCAAACCTTGTGAAAAGGAAATTAAAAGAAAAAATTTTTTTAAAAACACTGTCTTAGTGCATAAATTAAGAGTCTTACAGCAGAATCCTGTAAATTTACACACAAGCATCCTCCCCTTTTAAAACTGGAGCTTACTACCAGGAGCAATGAAGCAAATGGTGTGATTATACTCAAGTAATCAAGCAGAATAAGATAAACAGAAATCCTTGTGCGAGGAAAACTAATTGCATTTTGGTACAGAAGTACAGATGTAAAGAGGGATCTTAATACTTGTCAAAACTACAGCCGGTTTGTGTGTGATTTTCTCTTGTATTTACAGTAAGCAAATATGGCTATCACCTTGCATGCTGCCCACGGCACCACTGAGTGATCTTTATTTTATTAAATGCACCAGTAAGCAGCCAGCAAAACAAGGCTTATGGGTTACTGATAACCAGTGAAGCACTAATGAAAAGTATTTCATTTTGTACCTTATTAATGACTTGAGCAAACCACTGAAGAAAACTACATTTCAGAGCACACTCTAGGATCAAACTTTAACCCCTATGCCATTCCAAGACCCTCATTTCTGTGGCATGTTAGACCTTTGTGTAGCTGTTATAAGCTTTGTAATAGTGCTAGGTAAACCGTGAGCTTTGGCCTCTTGTCAGTAGAAACACTTGCTAATTTTTTCTGACAAGGGCACTGGATGCCTTTTGTGCAGCTTAATGCAGTTTCTGACTAAACTCGGGGTCATTTGCCACAGATGAAGACATGGAAGATTCTTCAGTGCATCTCTCTGCCTGACTCAGCCCATATTTAAAATCATCATCCCAAAGACACTGATCTCTAAACATGGGGGAAGAAGGCAAATCCAAATCTGAACAAATGAGATGCATCTTATTTAAAGAACTGCTTTTGTGCGTGTGTTTGAATGCTTAGTAATGTATGTATTCATTTTAGCTTCAAAGGGTAAACCTCTAGGTGCTTAACTTTCAAAATGGCCTCTTCAAAAATAATTCACTGAAATACCTGATTTATTAAACTTAAAAAAATGCAAAATATGTTAAGAAGACAGCTTTTAGATACAGATTAAATATATCTTAGACAGAGCTACTTAGTAAAATACATTAGAAACGAGCACACCAGACTTTCACTTGCACATTCCTCATTTTACCTTGGTGTGTGTATATATATATATATACATGCTGGTTTAGCTCTTATATATATATATATATGCTGGTTTAGCTCTTAAGTCAGGAGGCCTTACACAATGAATGAATACAGTTTATCAGGTCCTTCTTATTAACAGAAATGCTACCTGTCGTCAAAACCCTTCATTAATCTGTTGGTAATAATTTATCGATTCAGAGATTTCAGCACAAAACATCATAGCCTTTCACCCTTGAAATGTTTTAATCAAAATAACTGTCAGAATATAAAATACAATTTACTAAATTTATTAGGTCATAATACTTACAAATGATATTCAGATATAATTTATTAAGGTAATATTTAACTTGAGTTGTTTTAAAAGAAAGCAGAAATAATAAAAATTGAAAAATAGTTTATCTAGTTTTGAGACAAATAAGTCCTAGGAATGTAATGTACAGCATGGTGACTATGCTTAACAATAATGTGTTGTATATTTGAAAGTAGCTAAGACAGGAGATCTTAAAAGTTCTCATCACTAGAGAAAAAACATTGTAAACTATGTGTGGTGATGTATGTTAACAAAACTTAACTGTGGTGATCATTTCATAATACATACATCTCTTACATCATTACTTTGTACACCTTAAACTAATAGAATGTTGTATGTCGATTATAGCTCAATAATAAATAAAAAAAAAGAAATAGTTTAATCTTAATAGTCTTCTTCCTATAATAGTGACAATAATGGATTAAATAATTATACATAGGGTTATTCTGGGCATATAGCATATACAGTTATGCAAGTTAATAATCATGAGGCAAATTATTTTATGTAGCTTTTGTTCATAGCTTATATTTTCTAGCCTTTAAAAAATACTTGATTGTTAGATTGTGCTGTTTTATTACTTTTTAAAAGATTGTATGTTGACTTCAAAGCAGTGGTGGTTATCATATAAAGTATCTTATAATTTTTTTTTTTTTGTAGACTCTAGAAATTGTCAAAGTCCTGCAATCACAATCTTATATAATCTTCTAGCAGGCTTCAAATAAGATATTCAGTCTTTAGAGGTTTCCATGGAAGTACAGTAGGTCCACAAAAATAAAAGCAATAACTGACATTTAGTCAGTATAAGTAAATAGGTAAAAATCTATCATTCCCCATATTCTGTATTTTATTTAGAGCTAAGATGTGCAAAACTATTAAACCTTTCCTATTTCAATGATTCTATGTAAGAACCTTTATTTTAAAAAATCTCCAAATTAACCAAATGACCAAAATATTACTAAAAACTTCAAAAAAAATTAAAATCTGATTAAGTGACCTGTGTTTATACTAGGGTGGCAATATTATAAAATTTGCTCAAAACTCAAACAACAAAATGAGCAAAGTCCAAATATAATCAAAGATGTTCACTTTCTGAAAATGTGATTGACTAGGGCTTTTAAAACATAGTAAGTATGAATTTTATTTTTCATATAGGTAGGCTTTGTAAAGCATAAACCACTATACAAAGCTGTTGTTATTAGAATTGATATATTTATTTCAAACATGGCTAATAAGTAAACTGATTTCATGACAACTTTAAGTCCCTGGGACAATAAAATTTTTATCTGACTGAGGCATGGCTTAGTACTTGGGTTTGACTTCTTTCGAGTAGTTAAAACAGTCCATAGTCTTAATGTAGTTTGGTGACAAGCTGCCATGAAAGAATGGTCAGGAATGGAAAACATTTAACAGATATATTATAAAATAAAACGCATGCTACTTGACAGTAGATTTTATGACTGGATACAATGCTTCCAGGTACTCTAGAGGCAACCCAGGATATTCTCTTCTCCTTATAAAGGTGCTGCTTACCATGATAATCCTTATATAATGGGTTGGTTTCTCTCTCAGAACCAATGAATGATTCCAGACCAACTACTGTATCTGACAAGTTTGTAACACGAGCAATAATTGCTTTATTCTGTAAAACAAGAAACAAAACACTCATTTTATATTTAATAATATAACATGTATTCAGTGCCATTATGCCATCTCAGTGACAAATTGTAGAGGAGATAAACTATCAACATAGAGAAATAATTCAAAGCTACCACAGGCTGAAAACTGGATGAAAATATGCACTTAACTGAAAATTCTAGCCCATGTAGGTGTGCTATTCTAACTGGAAGAGCTGAAGAAAATATTCTTATTTTTGGTAGAGAGCATAAATTGATTATTTTTCTTCCGTTTTAAGGGTCAAGGCTACCTTTATCCTCACACACTATTCTTTTTCAAATTACTTTACCCATTGGAAAATCTGATAGACATCAGGATTCAGAAGCAGTAGATAGTACAGTATAATGTGTAAGGCAAGGTCCCGCTATCAGCTGTCAACTGGGACCAGGTCCCAGCCCTGTAACAGCTGAGGTCCTCTGTATCATTTTAGAATCACGGAAGGGTCCAGCTAAGAGGCTGCAGCATGGCTAGCTCTGGAGTCTTCTGTTCTCTCCTTCCAGATGCTGCTATTTCGCTCTGGGATAACAATAAAGGCAAAGAAAAGAGAGTAGATGACTAGCACTAAACTAGTAGTCTACACTTTCCTTCCCAATACAACCTGACATGAACCAAAAACATTGCTAAATAATACAGTGTAAAAAAAGTCACATTTTAAGTAGCAAAAGTTGTAAAATACTCAGAATTTCATGGCTATAAAAAAATCATTAAAATATAATCATTAAATACCCTCTAGGTTCTCTTGAATTATTTTATTTAGTGGAGATTCAGTATTTCTTTTAGCCCCTGACAGGGTGATAGGTCAGCAAATGTTTCATATATTATAACATCCTAGAAAAATTTTTGCTCTCAAGTTCTAGATAAGTTGAAAAAATGGTTCTTTGTAAAATTTTATACTTTTGAAACTCCCATTTTATACACTCATAATATCTACCAGTTTAAAAATAATCTTTAGAAAAGGATGGGAAATGTAAAGCAGTTAAGAAAATTTTAGTTTGATCCTATGACCCCTGTTAGAGGAAAGTCCAAACACAATGAAACACATTCACTTCCTGTAAACACGACTGACTACTGAGCTTACTGGTATTCCTGTTTCTTAAGTCCTGTAGTAAGGATTGCATAAGAATGAAAAATAAAAGAAAACTGGTCAATGTTACCTGACTCAGTCTGAAATACATAGTAGCTCCTGTCACTAAACGTTATGCTGAAATGACTGGTTAACTCATACCTAGGGCAGTATTTGAAACTCCTCTGTAAGTAGAAATATGTGTTGTATAAAGAATGTTTCAGCCTTTGAATCAGTATGCTTAAAAGGAACCAGTAAAAATAATTATCCTTAATTGGCTTTAATACTCTTAATGATGTGGGTACCAAGTATAGAAAAACAAACAATTTGAAAATGCCTATTTTTTTCTAAGGCAGTTTTTCATTCAATGGTAAGAAAATAATACAGATTGATTCCTTACTTTCAGTTCTATGCCACAGGGGATGGTCCTACTCCAGGAATAACAGGGGCTTCAGAGGCCATAAACAAGTTCCTCTCAATATTTCTTTAGCCAAAGACTATTATATCAAACTCATCCAGGTTGGGTTTCAGCCAGTTATTCTTCACCCAAACAAAAATGTCTGCCAGACATTCCAACAGCTGGGAGACAGTTCACAATGAGTCAACTTGAAAATGATTCATTGTGCTGAGTACTGAACAATGTTGGGGTGGGGGTGGGGTGTGGCTGGGTTGGTTGTAGAGGGTGAGAACAAGTGGGAGATGAAGAATAACCATGTGGTTCTCCCATTAAGAAGAATCTTAGATAACAACCAGCAGGCTCTTATCATTTCACTTTTAGGATAAACTCAACTGGGAAGAGTACTCCTGTCATGGACCCTCAGATGAACAAGCACTTATAAAGGCTACTGACAATATTTCTTAATCAAAAGGTCAGATTTCCTTTTATCTATAAATACAAGACTAAGCCTTTGTATCTAAATATCTGAATCTAAAATGGTAAAAGTCAGTTTTTGTTAGAACTCAAGTATTCAGATATGCAGTGATATAAACTAGGGCTTTTTCAATTATTTTAATAATAGAAATTATAAGGTTTAAGTATGTCTTCCATTCTAGTAGCATATAAGCAAGGTCCTGCATATTTAAATGGACAACCTGACATTCAAAGAGGGTTTCTTTCTTTAACCTTAAAATTTACTAATAAACCACTTAACACCCTGTAATATTTGTCAACATTATAATTCTTTTTAAGGTAATTTATGGAAGATTTTAAAAAATCAACCATCCACTTTGTAGAGGAAAACTAATGAATTCCAAAATAAAAGATGTATACAGCCTGGATTTAGAAATCTCAGAAACTCATTCATATAGTTAATTTATTGTGTTTCTAAGTTCCATAGGTTTACACTAGAGTTATTAACTACAAACTAAATTTGATTTTAAAAGCTTTCATGAAGTCTTAGAGCAAGAAAAATAAGTTATATTTAAGAATGACCTTACTACTTTCTGCGCAGCAGTTTTGGAAAATAGGTTACATAACGTGGCAAACTTGATGGTGGAAGTTGTACAGATATCGAAAAAAAATGTCTATAGAATAAAAAGCACTGGAAATTATATAAGAATAACATCTAAGTTTCTGACTGAGATCATCTTTATCTTAATTATAAACTCACTCAGTATTCCAGTGATGTATAAAAACATAAAAGATATTTGGGCATGTAAATGTACATATTTTTAAAAAAGCTAAAATAGTGTTACAGATTACTTCTGTACCCCCAAGATTCATAGGGAGTATGGTATATTGACACAATCATATCTTAAAACTACTCGTGTCCAAAGGTCTTTCAAATCGTAATGGTCTTTCAGATAAAGGTAGGTAAATTTACTTAAAAGAATACTAAGTGGTCTTTCAGATAAAGGTAGGTAAATTTACTTAAAAGAATCTAAAATTGATAGCTTTAAAAATCCTCAAAGGCATAATAATCACAATTCACTTCAGGGAAAATACACTATGGACAATAAATTGTCAAAATATAATTCACAGTGTTCAGAAAGCTTTAGCATAATGATCTGAGCAGAGGCCTTGAAACTGGAACTTCCATATTCTCATCTTAACAGATTCTAAGTGTTTTTATGTTATTAGCCAAGATGTGAAACCTCTTTGGTCTGCAGTATACGTAGTTGGAAATGGAGAACCTCAAGGTATTTGTGCATCAGTTACTTGGACATAAAATTTGAGTAATTTTTGTGTTAATTTTGAAGTTGTTACATTATAGTTTCTAATAAGGAACATCTGAGTAAGGACATTCAGGATTCACCAGTAGGAGTAAATTAATGGTTATATTCATGCATGGCATAATGACATCACCCAAGTATGTACAATGATACTGTCACCCCTCCTCCTTGCCCATCTGGATGTGAAAATCTAGGATGGCTCAAAAATCCTCCCTATACTAGACAAATCTCCCTTCACTCCTGGGTGAAAGTTGTCAGCTCTGGACAGTAGCCAAGACATGACTAGGAGGGAAGCCAGAAAAGAAGAGAGCCAGTGTCCAGGAGTTTTAAGAGTTTGCTGGCAGTCTCAAATAGCATTGTATTAAGTTACATAAAAGGTTCTTAAAACTTTCTGTTGCAGTGCAATTTCTTAATTAATTATTTAGATTTAAATCATGTCAAATGCTGTTGCACATAAAAACGGCAAATCAGATTGTCCAGTCCATTTTTTTATTCCAATTTTAATTTCACAAAATGTTTCAGAGTTCTTGTTTTGATTGTTTCTTGTTTGGTTTCATAGGATGTTTCCTGTTTTCTTTTATATAATGGTAACCTCTTTATTAGGATATGCCAAATCCATTAAATAGATTTTAAATAAATGAAGATTAATTTAATGCTCCCTTGCAATTCAAAGCTCATTAAACCAAAACTATGAACTTTAAGAGATAAAATTCAACTACTGCCATATAAGCTCCCTCCATTTTCTAATAAAAATAGTTGAGATACCTATTTAGAGTAACCAAGTAACAATTAGAATACCTCAAACCCTGAATGTTTTCTTACTTTCTCTGACCCAATTATCTCAACAATATAAAAAGATACAGTTTGTACCAATACAAAGTATAGTGCCAGGAAAGATTTTTAACAAGAGAATTAAAAAGTAATTAACCAATCATTTAATTATTAAGAAGCTTGACAAGAAAAAATCAGTTGACATAAAGCATTTATGCAATGCCTCAAATAAGAATAAGTTCTTGAGTTACTCAAATAAGATAGCAAATACACAATACAAAGAGTAGAGCTCCCATTTGAGTATATGGCACACACATCAGATTTGGGATTACAATAGTGCAAAAGCACTATTAAGTTAATATTGAAAAGTTAAAGAAAGATACAAATTACTTTGTTTGAACCTACTACGTGACATGATGTGTGTCTGTATGTGTGGGGTGGGGGGTAGAATCCCAAGAAAAACAAGTATACTACGCAACATCTCACGTTATTTTTCTGAGAAATGATATGCATCAAAACACAAACATACTAGAACTTATGACATTTCGTCATGTAATAAAAAAATTTGAATAAAAGGATAAATCTAGAGATGTTTAATGAGGTATTTGTTTTTCTATGCTTATTAAGTTCTACATTCTATAGGATTGAGACTATGAAATAATAAAATTGTTTATACTGTAACTTTTTACAAACCTTCCCCCACCTTCCCCAGAGTTGTCATTTACTAGTAGATTAAATTTTTATTTTATAAAAATATTTTATAGTGGGAAAAATAATTCTGTTCATAATTATTTTGAGTTTAAGAATATAATTTTATCAAATAAAGTTATACTAATAAATATTTGTAATTATAATACCTTAATGAAGGTATTAGATTAAATCTTTCCAGATTTAATATTGACTTTTATTAAAATTCACACAGTTAATTTTAAAATACAGAGGAACTTGTGTAAATTTTA